AAATGAAGAGAGAGAGTACGTAGTAATTATTATAAAAATTGATAAAGGCAGGAAAATAATTATCGCACATGCGTAAAACTAGGGGTGTAATTATTATCCGGGATCCGAAATCCGATCCGTTATCTATTCGAAATCGCTCTGAAAAATAGGATATCCGGGGAGTCTGGATCCGGATAAGGATAGTAAAATCTATGATCCGTAAAAAGAGGATCCGGATCCGGATAGCAAAATTTTAAGGTCCGGATCCGGACGCATTAAATATATTAAAAACATATATATTATATATCTATTAAACTAATTTTATATAAATAAATATATATAAAAATTGATTTTAGTTCTTTTTATAATAAATTATATTTATAATGAAAAATACCATTTAAAATATTAACTAACAATTTTTAAAAATATATTTTTATTTATTTATTAATTATTTTAATTATTTTTAATATTAATTTCGGATCCGGATCCGGATATCTGCGGATATCCTGATTTTTGGTCGGATATCTAGAGTCCGGATATTTGGAGGTCACGATTTCGGATCCGGATAGTTTTTCTACGGATCCGACGATTCCGGATCTGGATCCGGATACCTTGAAATTCCAGGATATCCAGAATCGTTCCATCTCTATGTAAAACAAAAGAATAAGTGTAAGAATTGTATTGTAAGAATTGTAAAAAGAGAGAGATATAATAAGTGTAAGAATTGTATTGTAAGAGGTCAAAATGTGTCTATAGTACCAATGAGCCGCCAACCCATAAGTTAAAAAAAAGTGTCATATGGCCAAATTATTCTTTTCCAAAATGGGAAACTTCCGCTCACATTGAAGAATACACTGAATATGGTAAAAGCGTTCTTCTTTATCTCAATTGTCTTTACAATTGCAAATTTCGATTATGTCAAAAAAGAAAAAGAAAAAATGGTGTTTACGTAATTCAACTTTATGTGGATTCAAGTGGCGCATTGATCCTGCAATGTGGGGTTATATTTGTACACGAATTTATAAATATTTATAAAATTTATTTGTGAAGGAATAGCCACACAAATAAAAAACCAACGCCTTCGTATCACATAGGTGTGGTGATATCATTGAATGTTTTTGTTCGCACACGAGATTTGTCGGGTCACAAATCCAATTATGTTTGCTCACTTTCGAGTATATAATTAACTATTTGTGGACCATAAATACACAAGATTAAACAAAGTTTTTTTTTCTCGTTTGTTTTATTAACTCATTCGCATTCACACCACCAATATAAATTATACTGTTTCCAAATTATTCTGAAAAGAAAGGTGCGGTCTGTCCAACGATCGATTACGAAAGAGCACAAAACTT